TGTCTGTGCATGGGAGCTGTGGGATTAATTTATTTAGTATGGTGCTGAAATTATCCCTTTGTGTGTGTTTTATCATAACAGATTTGCAAGCATTCATCCTGGTAATTCAATGAGTACACCAAATACTAACACACATTTAACTCCATAAATTAGAATTCTAGTTTACATGAAATACAGGAAGAATAATGAAAAAAAATTAGCATTAGCCAAACATGGCTGAGTAACAAACACAAGAATATACAGCAGTGGTTCCTAACTTTTTTGCCCCATGGACCAGAGGGATCATGCTGAGTCTATCTGTGGGCTGGATCCAGCCAGTGGGCCCAATCCAGCACATGGGGCAGCAAGGAAGAACTCAATCTGGCCATGTTGTGGGGATGACCTAGCTCTGAACTGGCCATAAGGGGGAAGCTGGCGTGGCCTAGCCCCAATTCAGCCCTGCAAAGCATGGGAATTTGGCAGCAGAGAGGGGTGGCAGTATTACTTGCCATTGCCCTCCCAACAGCAAATTTCCCAATCCATGGGGAAATTCACAGGCCAGATGCTATAACTCCACAGGTTGAATCTGGCCCGTGGGCCAGAGGTTGGGTACCTTGGAAAGAAGATGTCTATAGATTCAAAATAATAAAGTGAAATCTGCATGTTAACTGAACAATGTATATCTGTTGAATTAAATACATTACAAACTCAGTAAGCACACATTACTTTCAGTCTCTTTATAACACAGTTTGTAGAGCTATGGATTTTGCAAATCTAGTAATTAGCTAAACCCAAGACAGCATATACTAATGTTTTTTTATTTTAGTTGATGGTAACTTAATGGACACTAAGGATACATTAAATCAGGAGTGCTGAGTCACATGACACTTCAAAGCTTCCCCCCTCCCAGCCTATTTCCATACTGCAGATAATGCATCTTTATTGTGAGTCTAACTGTCCAAATAAAATAAACCCAACTGAAAACAAGTTGGTCTTTCAATCTGAAAATGTGCATTACAGGCTTAAGAAAAAAATGCTAGACAGCTTTAATAAGCGGCTTTGATTTTAAAGCTTTTCTCTTTCTTTCAACAATAGTCAAGTACATTTTGCTCCCACACATGTTTATATTGTTCTATAGTAGAGCTATGGGATTGCAGAATCAAATATTTGAGATGGGAAAACCCACTCAATCACTAGCAGTAGATATATAGCTAAAAACATATATGAGGCACTTGTTTTTTCAGAAGCAAACTGACAAGAAAAAAGAATGGGTACAGTGAAATAAAAGTTATCCAGCTGATGAGTACTGCAGGATCCCCTATTGATACACATTTAATATAAATGGGTAAACTTAAGGCTTTCCTACCCTGTAGGGGAAACTCGAGGGCTACCCCAAATCAATTGCTGTCATGCATGAAACACCTTACCTGAAATTGGCTGGCCCTTCAAGGGGCAAAGGCTTCAGTCCAGATTAGGCTAACTGATCAACTGAGAACTGGTAACACAAACCCACTGCATAACGAGACTGTTATTTTGCAGTGCAGTGGCTCTCACTCAAGCAAAGCTAAGTTACGTTGAGCTCAGCTGAGTTAACTCTACAGTGAAAACACACTTTAATTGTTGCTTCTAATCTGAAACTTAGTTCTGCCTTTTAGGATGATCAGATCTGTTAAGAATAGATGAAACAGGCATTGGCTAATTATATAGGTAGGGCACGACTAAATTAAAAATTTCCCTGGATGATACTTAGAGGAAAATCTTATTCTCTTTTATGGTTGATTGCCAAAATTTAAATAATTTTAATACATAACTGACTACACCATTAGAAAGGTACATGTGTAATAAGGCTATGATAATATTTGAATACTGAACATTGAATGGCTACTTTCTGAGTCATTCCTGTTTCAGTTTAAAAATACTGGTGGAAAAGTCTGAATTCCAAAGTCTCGTGTCATAAATTTGTAACGTTAGTTTTAAGAAATAGTATCCGTTCATGTTCTGTTGGCCGAAGCAGCACAATACAAGTCTAATTCAGCCACTGGTGAGTAACTGTAGGCTAATATTAACCAATAATTTCTGGAGACCTAGCATATCTAATTTTTTCTTCAAATGAATATGAATTTGGTCCTCTTGGATTTGGGTCTAGCTAACTTCAGCAGACACCACAAAACTGCACAGAATAAGCTCAGTTCTGGGATAGCCAGGGAGGTTTGAATCAAACAGGTGACAGATTTGTAAGAAAAAACACTTGTCCTAATCCAATCCTTATTTTTCTGATTCTCACATGTAAAGCTACCCTTGATCATATAAAGCTACCCTTGATCAACTGTAGGCCTGGAATGCCACATAAAGTAAAAAATAAGACAGAACATGTGACAAAAATATAGTAACTTACTTTTCTTCGATCTTTAAGAATCCTGTCCAAACTCTCCTCATTAACTTTGCCTGCATAGTCATAAAAGCTTAAACCAAAAAGAGGGGGGGGAAAATTATAGGTACACAGTTTACATAGGATTCACAAGTCAGCTTGGTAAATATACAATACCTGATTAATCTTAAACTATATTATAATAGTAACTACAACAGTTCTATATTTATCCAGTGTAACATGGGGAACAGTGACAGCATTTAATGACTAGCTGAAAAGTGCCTTCGTTGTCATCACACTGCTTAGTTAGATGGCAGGTATTTCCTTGGCAGCCCCTACACTAAAGGGCACTGTAAAAATCTCTTCAGATTAGCCCCTGGGAAACAGAACGTGCTTCTGTCTAGCATCTCAGCAGCAGCAGCAGTCAAGGGGGAAGGATGCAATTTCACTTTTCAGATAAGATTATCTGAAATACTTTGCCCCAGTCCTGCCATCAGCCCCACACAAATGGACCCTAGTACTTGTGGAGTTTCACTGAAAACAACAGGTGTCTGCACAAGTGTAAGAGTCCACCCATCTGGCCCCAGGTGCAGGACTGGATCCCAAGTCCTAACCAAAAGATGAATAGATTTATGAATTCAAATGGTTCACAGGTCACAACAACAGAAAAACATTGGAAAATAGATTCCTCCTTCACTTACCTGCCAAGTCCTTAGTCTCTTTCAAGAGCTGATATCACTAACACCCAAAGCAGTGCAGGAAAATACTGTTTTAGAGGTCTATAATCTCAACTCTTGTAGGGGAAAAAACAAAATCCTGAACTCAGTACTTGGCTGGTAAATAAGGGTGGAAATATAGTCCGTTTTAAGATGCAAATCATTTTGAATTTTATGACCATACTTCATTACTGATTTGCGATATTGAATTGTTTGTGCTCATAATCCATTCACTTTCAAAATGCTTAAACACTTTCCTGCAAATTAAAATGCATCCAACTCTATCAGTCTGTTTTCCATACATTATTATATATGTCTATGGATTAATCACATGCAATATATAAGGAGGATATAAACCAACCAGAATTAAATACAGCAGCTTTGTTTTCAAACTGCATTGATTAAGTAAACTGGCCTTTAAACATTCATTATTTTTGGCTGAGTTCCCACCGTTTGGAAACTGTGCTGCAACTAAACCCATCCTATTCAATATCGGCAATGCCACAGCTGTTCTCTTCCAACTACAAGTCTCCTTGCAACTGAGTACTTTTAAGTCAAGGAGCTACGGTAGTGTACAAAAAATATTTTCACACACGAAGGTTAAAGGAACAGAACTAATAACACGGTGCACTGGTCTGATGAACAACATATAAACTAGCAGACTCTCCCCAAGAGCAACTGAATTTAATAATAAACAATGTTTTATGTAAAGTAGTCACACTGTGAAATGTGGGTGACTTCTTTCCTACTCTCTCTCAGGGTCTGGCACCAACAGCCATAACTGGGAAGTGAATAGTATTAAAATTTGTGATTATTGTTTTGTTGTGTACTGCATGAAGCAGTATAAGGAACCAATGCAGACACTGGAAAGAGATCACCAATCAGACACTGAGGTGTCATCTTGATGTGTGAAGAGCCTTGCACATCATTCATAGGGATAAGAATTTTCCCTTCTAATTAGCAGACAGCAAATCACAGACTGTAGCTTCTCCTTTAATATAACCGATATCAATCACAATGTTTGAGGAACACGCCTTTGTAAATCTCTAGAAGTCTCCAAATAAAAACAAACAGATAGAGCACAATAAGGAATTATTTCTAGAAAGGTAATTTCTAAACAAAAAACACCATACCGCAGATAGCAATTTAGAAATCATTATGAAGTAACTGCAGGATCCATGGGAAAAAAAATTGAGAGTGAGGCTACTAAATGGTAATATATGGGGCTAGATTCCCTCTTGCATTCAGGCATCATAAAGGGGCTAAACAGCAGCTTGATAAGGAGAATAAGCAGCTGGTGCAAAGCCAGTGTATCAACCACCTACACCGGGGTGGGCAAAATATGGCATGTGGGCTAGATGTGGCTCTCCAAGGGGTTTTATCCAGCCTGCAGCAGGTCCCTCAGCCCTGCCCAGCCTAGGCGTGCGGGGCAGCCTCAGCTATGGCGTGTGCAGCCAATCCCATCACCACAGGAATGCAGCAGGGCCCGGGTGGCGCAACAGCTGGATTTTGCTTCCTGGAAGCCCTGGTGGCGGTGGCTCTTTCCAGCTGCCATTGCCAGTGTCACCACCAGACCTGAACACGCTGCCCAGGCACCCCAGCCTCTCCACCCCACATTTACCGCCAGGGACACCAGATGGACCAGCCACTTAGGGGGTTTTTGGTGAGCCGTTGCAGATTTGGGGGGGTGGGGGGAGTGCACTGATTTGGCCCACAACAGCTCATCAAAACCCCTAAGGGGCTCTCCAGCCCAAATAATTGCTCAGCCCTGACCTACACCATCCACTGGCCATTGTCTGAGTCATCAGCATGCTGCAATTCTACCCTAATAATCTCTTGGGGGCTAGCTGACATCAGCAGAACAACCCCAAGGCTCCTCTAGCTTAGGGTGGGTTGCACATATCCACTAGCTACCAGGGTGTCCCACCTGGACCCCCGAGTGCCACTCATTCTTGCTACATCAAACAGAAACTTGATGAGACAGAGAATCTTGGCCATGCTGCAACACACAGGTAGATAGATATATGCCTTCTACACCGAAATTCTACATTCAAATGAATGTTACTATATCTGTCAAAGGATGTTTTAAGCGTCTTGTTGGGTGCTACTTACACACATTGCTTTAACAAAACCACATAATGAACAGCTGCAAATGTTACCAGAGACATCTGAAATACTAACATGTTTCAATGCACTACTTATATTTGTACGTTGGGTTTACTGAACTGTGCAGTCAGAGTAAAACAACAGAAATGGCTTACCTAAAGAGTTTTGAACAAGGCTCATGGTTATGAATTTCTGTAATAAAAAAAAAAAGAAGACGTATGTCCCAGCTGTTAAAGACAAAGGTAAAACTATGGCAGTATATTTCATGCAATCTTTTCCAAATATCAAATAGGAAACAAATAAGCAAATAACCTCTCTCGTGCTGTATCTCTGGACTACTCCCAAAGACACTGCAACTTGCCCCTGTAGGATGAGACAGTGTGACCCTTTGACAGATACATTTTTTTCTAACCTTCCAGGATAAAAATGGCTTAGTTTGTTAGCTGAAACTGAATCTAATAATTACATTTTAAAATATTTTCCCAAAGTTATACGTTTTCCCCCCAACATATTTCTGAATTCTCACATATTTGTTTTTCATGCAACTTTTCTCCTAGAAGTTTGTGCACACACTTACAGGGGCACTGACAGATAGGAAGCAATCACTGCAGTGAGATGTGCTATGAGAAACTAAAGTGGGTGGTGCGAAATGCAGGTTAATAGAGGCTAAGTACCACCTCCTAAGCACCAGAGTCACTTGGCTCTCTATTTTCAGCCAAAGTAAAAAAAACTCGAAAAAATCCAAGATCCCTCTATAAGCAACAAAGGTAATAAAGGGTCAGTACACTGGGGCAAATACATGAGAAAGTAATCAATAATCCTACACAGAAGATATTTTCCCTTTTTAAAAGGGAATCAAGATTTGTTTCTAACTACCAGTTCTTACACAATGTTCCCTTCCAGTTACTCTTTGTATTTATTTGCACCTTGCTCTACCAATTCTTTCAAATCTCCTCCCTTGATGTTCCCCAGGTTCTGTAGAATTTAAGCTGATATTATATTTTGTTCTCTACCAGAGAGAGCACCGAGCAGAAACAATGCTTGGTATCATCCTCCCTGAAGAATGACTCATCACCTGCTGCTTTGAAAGTCACAGACTCTGTGCTCACAATTGCACTTTCAGCTCAATCAGAATCAAACCACAATACCAAAGAACACTCTACACTTTAGTTTCCCAATACTTTCAGACACTGCCAAAGAGATCTCTGCACATCAATGTATATGTGCACTTCTAGAAATTAAGTTGCAGTTGGCTATTACTGTTAATGATGCAGCTGTGAAAGTTACAACATTTTATTTAATTGCAAAACAAAGGAAATTATGCCAGCTCCAGATTTATTGCCCGGCATTCTTGAGGCTTGTAGAAACGATTCACTAAAAGCCAGTAAATCAAACTGTTCCAACATAAAACATAATTCTTTCTAACAGAAATAAACCAGCCAGGGTTCTGAACAATCAGCCCTCATTCTCATTTTACTATAAAGACCTGATGCTGTACAATTTTAAAAAAAATAAACCAGTGTGGCCCTGCTTGTGGAATTCATCTTTCAAAGTTGTTTAAGGAAATTTATATATAGAAGAAAATCAGCAGATCTTCTCTATGCACTCATTAATATACTTATCAAAGTACTGAGAAAGTCAATATTTTTTCTTAAGTTAGCTCAAGGACAGGCAGTCTACACTTATAAGCCCTTTACAAGTCTACTAATTATTGTGGCTTAGTTCTAGATACAAGCGGAAAAAGAAAAATACCTGTCTCTTGAGATTCTTAATTACATGGCTGCCATTACTATTTTAAAGTGGTTAGCAGAACCTGTAATTTCAAGGGAAATGTTTAGTTCTAAAACTGACTAAAACATAAGAGTTATTTTGAAAGAGACTGTGTTGGTCAACCCTTACACATTCACAGATCCCCACTGAAGTCCATGGTGGTCTGCCAGCACAGATCTGATTACAGGATTGCTGAAGGTAGATTTACTTTAAAAAAAATCTACAACCAATAGAAATATTTGAAACAAGTGAATCATTTTGCTTTCATCTATACATATATCAACAAAAGAGAGCACCTAGCCCTTTTGCTATGTGCTCCTTTATTATTTTTAACCTTGCCAGCTATAAAAACTGACCGCTCCTATTACAAACTCTCACTAATTAATTAAAATATCTACAGTAACCCTGCAGCAAAAATCAAGTCAGATCTTTAAAATATCCCATACGGGTCATATTATTCTCGTACAGTCAGCAAAACAAATAGCTTTGTGAAATTTTCCTACAGGTCAATAAATAAAGCCTCCAGTTACACATATCCCACATATAATCATGATATATAGCCTCACTGAAATCAAAGCGTCTATATACAGTGGTCAAGTTAAACAAGAGATTAAGTATTTGCAAGATTTGGGCCACAGGCTGTCATTGACTACAGAGTGAAATAGGTTGCAAAGATTCTCCTCTAGCATTATTGCAATGACTAGTCTCATCATTGTCCAGAGAAAAGCAAATGTAAACAAAAAAGATGACATTATTAAAAGGGGTTTGTTTTTTACATTATAATCTTAATGACAATATAATATTAGTTATATAAATAATGATTTAAAATAGTGATTTTAATTTTACCAGGTCCCTTTAACTGCTGAAGTAAAGTCAACAGATGTGTTTAAACACGGTCAAAGCTCGTCATGTTGTGCTATAAAATTCAACCAATTCACAAAACTTACTGAATGGTTAAGATAAGTAATATTTACATCACAAAGTAGTATGTTAAAAATGCAGCCCCACAAGGACCACTTTTTTCCTGATGTTTCAATTAGGTATGTACAAACATGAATGTGATTAAGCATATTTTAATTACAATTCTTGGGAGTTTGGAAACCTGTCTGGGCCTTACAGAAAAACTAGCAAAAATCCTTACTTAAGGAAAAAAAGATTTATTAAAAAAGGAAAACTGAACTGAGTGACTGATCTTTTAGTTTCTCAGAGTTTGTGTTTAGCATCACTTACCAATTATCTGAAGAAATTCAGTGTTGCTGATCTGTGAATCACTAATGCTAAATGTCTCCTCTTGTCTTACTTCTCCCAGCAAAAATCCTTCCTAAAATTTAAAAGAAAAAGGACACGGAATAAAAATAGAAATAAACCACTATTATACATAAATTCACTGGTAACAGTCAACATTGGAAGAATCTTTAGCTCATCTGAACTTGTACCTGGGAGTAAACAAGGTCCTGAACGGTCCCTCTAAACGAGAGACTCAAAAATGATTTAAACCCATCCTTGCTTGAGGTAGGAATTGAAAAATCCAGAAACAGAATATCTAAGAGTCATGTACTAATCAACAGAAATGTTTCAACAATAGAATTCTGCTGATTTCTAAATGTAAAGCAAATTTGTATTATATGCTACTGGATCAAAAGCTTGGGTCAGGTTTATGCTAGGGTATAAACATCTGGATTGCAATGGTATGTAACCTTTGATTTCCAGCACTGAAAACAGTGATACTCCAAGGTATAAGATGAAGATGATGCTTAGCTTATATGCGTTAACCATTCTAATTTAAAACCTATCCCATATTTAATGGGAATGCCACACTGATCAAAGATCCTGGTTCAACACAGATGCTTAACTTTACTAGCATGAACAGTCCTACCAGAAACAATGAGGCTACTCATAAACGTAACTATACACACAAGCATTTGCATGATCAGGGCTTAAACCACTCCGCCAAATTACCCTTCTTCATTAAAATAAGATGGGTGTAACATTTCTGCAGGCATTATAAACTCATTATGACAAATTCCACTTGGTTGACACTAGAAGCATAATGCCCCCCTCCTTTCTAAAATGCAATCAGTAGAAAAGCACAATTGCTGGTAACACAACTAAACAGATCCCTCTTGAAACCCTACTTCTTGCTCACAGACACCTACTGATGGGGCATTTTTTGGATTGGGATGAGGATGCACAAGTGCTGGTCAAAGTAGGCCAGGGTGGCCAATCTGTGGCATGAGTGCCTGGGACAGCCTCTGCATGCAGACTGGGGAAGATCAGGGAGGGGTCAGACAGCACAGCACCAGATAGAGCAGGGCAAGAGATTAGACAGAAAGCACAGAGCAAGAACAGAAAGCAGAGCAAGAGAACAGACAAGGAGTACAGGGGAAGGGCAGAAAGAAGACCAGGAGATCACACACAGAGCAAAGAATAGGAGCAGAAAGCAGAGCGGGAGATCAGGGGGACCCTGGAGCACTGGAGCAGAAAGCAGAGCAGGAGCTCAGACAGGGAGCACAGGGCAAGAGCAGAAAGCAGAACAAGACAGCAGACAAGGAGCAAAGAGTAGGGGCAGAAAGCAGAGCAGACCAGAGGGATCATGGAACACAGAGTAGGAGATCAGACAGGGAGCATAGGGCAAGAGCAGACAGCAGAGCAGGAGATCAGAGGGACCCTGGAAAAAGCAGAGCAGGAGATCAGACAGGGAGCACAGGGCAAGGGCCGAAAGCAGAGCAGGAACACAGATACAGAGCAGAGGGTAAGACCAGAGGAACCGCAGAGCAGAAAGCAGAGCAGGAGATCAGAGAGATGGCGAGCAGAAGGGATAAAGAGCAGAAAGCAGAGCAACAGAACACAGAGGACAAGGAGCATAAGGCAGAGCAGGAGATCACGCAAAGAGCAAAGGATCAAAGCAGAAAGCAGAGCAGATCTGAGGAAGCATAGAGCAGAAAGCAGAGCAGGAGATCAGACAGGAAGAACGGAGCAAGGGCAGGAAGCAGAGTGGGAGATCAGACAAGGAGCAAAGAGTAAAAGCAGACAGCAGAGCAGGAGACCAGAGAGTTCCTGGAGCAGAAAGCGGAGCAGCAGACGGGGCCGGAGAAGGGCCAGGTCGCGGGGCGGGCGAGCGGGCGGCAGGCAGGCGGCAGGCAGAGGGGGGGGCCGGGCCGGGCCGGGCACCTACGTGGTCCGCGCTGCTGTTGGCGCTGCAGTAGCAGACAGAACTGAACGTGTATCCCGAGATGGAAGCCGCCATAACGGAGACCACCGCCGCCGCGGCCGCCGCTCCCACAAGCCCCCGCGCTGCGCTCCCGCCCGGCTTCCGGCGCCGCGCGGGGGCCTCTGGGAAATGTAGTTCGCAGCTGCAGGGGGGGGGCAGTCTTGCCAGTGCCCGGCTTCCGCTCGGCCAGGGGTTGCCAAGGGGGTGGAGAGGTGCATCGTGCCCCAAAGCCAACCACCGCGTTTTTTTCTCAGCTAAAGAGAAACTAGCAGCTTTCCCGCAGGGCCCCCACATGGTCCCCCAGAGGCACTGGGAGAGAGACACTCCAAAGTGTGCTCATTTCAGGCATCTTCCCAGATCTGCACGGAATGAAGTCCACAGTGTACAGGGCTGCTGCTTACTCCAAACAAGTCATTACAGGGATGGGTAGATGCCTCAAGAGCTTATGTGCTTTGGGATATGGGACTTGGTGGCACCAAGATTACAATATCTTCTTTAATCAGTATTCAGTGTCACAAAAAATCATGAACAGGGTTATATGACTGCTTGCAAGTATCCTGTGCCCTTGCAGAGTGCAGAGTTCAGCAAAAATCAACTGAAAACCAGGAAATACAAAGTTAAGACATAAGCTAAGGGAACCTTAATTCCGCCCTCTTTGAAAGATGACTAATGTGCCCATGACACACACTTGCCGAGCCTCTGCTGTCGCAGACAGCACAGAACACTAGGGGAAATGTAGCTTATGACCATTGCAGGCTGGAGTCTAATACATTTGAGAAGGCATTGGACGTGGGTTTGAGTTTTCTGGAATGAAATATTCAGGAAGGCCAGAGGTACTCCTGGAACTTTGCATGCAGCTTTCACAAGGTTGTTTTGTCAGTAGTTTCCCTAGTTTTCTTGGCAGACACTGATGTTAATTTAGGCAGTGGTACCTCCCCTGTAGGTTTGTAGTTGAGGAGTTAAGGTGTTTGCAGTGTGCGATTCTTAAGTGGTCCTCCCAGCTTCTGTACCTTTTATTTTAAAGTAACAGGAATAGTAGGTGTGCTTAAAATGTTTGGAATATTTGCATTATCTTAACTCTTCACTTTCTGGTTTCAGATATTTAAATGTGGGCCCTCTCCACGTTCTTGCAGCCACTAGGTCTCTTTGGGCAACAGAAGTTTGTGAACATTTTGGGGGCATTTAATTTCCTTTTAAAAAAAAATAATTTCTCAGCAAGCCCGTATTCCAGCTTCCCAGGTCCCCACTCCATTGCCTCTGTTTCCTTGGCAATGCATATCATAGGGTGCACTAGTGGCATGTTATTCTCTTCATTGGCCACTGTCTTGACATCATTACTATTTACTACCATCTGCTTTCCCCTCCCCCAACCATTCTCCTCATCAAGAGGCAGACATCAGCATGGGACTGCAAACTGAGCACAGGATCATAGGGGATTGATTACATTTTTGGAAGTGGAGGGAGATCAAACATGGTAGGGACAGGGGAGGAAAATGTGTCCAGTAGTTTGGACCAGACATTTGAGAAACTTGGATTCGGGTGTTTTAGTTTTACTGTGATTTAGTGAAAAGGAATCTGTAAAAACGGGGATGATAGCACTCCTTTACCTCACAGGCATGTTGTGAGGGAAAGTATATTAAAGACTGTGGAGACACAGTCTCTCAGAAGCTTTTGGACATGACAGTGATAGGGGCTGTATAAAAACCCATAACTGGTCCTTTGATAACAGGGACAGATCCAAAATACTCTAGTCTAAAATATCCAAGCATACTGTTCTGACCCCCTCCTTTTTACCCTGTTTTTTTCCATCTCCCTGTTTTATCTCATATTCTTCTGCAGCTGCTTGGACTCACCTAACTCTCTACTTAACTCTCACTGTCTGGTTTCAGATATTTCAATGTCCCTCTTCATAGTCTGATTCTCCAACATTCCCGCCATCATGCCCAGTACTTCAGACCTCCTCTCACACACCAGCATGGTGCTTTTCCTCCGATTTCTGACACTGTGAGCTCTATTCTCCTGCTTGACAATCCTTGCTTCTTGTAAGCTTGGAGGAATCATGGGGAAGCTGGTGGGGCTGCAAGGAGGCCTTGTATAAGATGAAGGGAGGCAGGAAGGGGCAACAGAGCGAAGATGACCCTGTCCTGGCCTATAGGAAGGGCTAAGAAGCTGAGAGAGATCTGAAATGGCCCATTCATCTCAACAGGATATTGTTAGGTTAATGAGGCTACTTCACAAAGAAAAAACTGATTGAAATAATAGCTCTAAGACCTAAGAACTACTTCAGTCATCTTGCTGGGTGTCCCCAGTCAGTGCTCACAAACTTGTACTATGCAGCAAGCATGCCTGTTTTCGGCTGCACGTGCATGTACAGAGCCCCAACATAGGTATTCTCAGTTCCCGATCCAGTGGGGTATGGCCTTCACAGATTCTAGCTCACATGATGGGGCAAAGGCAAGGAATGAGAAACCCAATGGGGCACGGCACCAGGATTCCCAGCTCACAAGGGTGACAAGGAAAAGAGCTTAACCCCCACCCCTTAGAGGAACAGGGTCTCTCATATCCCAGCTGTCAGGGTGGGCACAAAGAGGGGTTCAACCATTCAAATACTCTCAAAGGAAAGCTCTCAAATGACCTTATGTGGGTTTGAAGTGTCGTAACCATACAGGAAGCGGAGGAGCACCATCACTTCACAGACTGAGACCTTTGTTGGCATCCAGAGCCCATCTTTCCCACACAAGCCCTCAAGATGGGAAAATTGCCAGAAACATTTACCATCTTCCCCCATATCTCTGAATCAAGTGATCCATCTGCAGCCACCACATTTCCTAGATAGGTTTTCTTTATTGCGTTGCTCAGTCTAAGTGACCACTGGATACTTGAGGGCTCCACATTGCACATAACCACAGTTTTTTCATGACTGACCTATAGGACCCAGGCTGAGAGCCTAGGGCAGTGGCTGTTTGCTTCAACTTGGGCTGACTCTCAGCCACAAAACCAGCAGCAAACAGCAAGTTATAAATCACTGCAGTCTATAGACTCATAGAGAATTGGCTGGAAGCGACCTTCAGAGCACATCTAGTCTAACCGCCTGGCTGAGACGGGATCATCCCTATCCAAACCATCCTATACAATGCATAATCTAACCTCTATGTAAAACTATTGCCAATTTGGATACAACACAAACCTAACACCCTAACCTGCCACAGGTAAAGCAGGAGAACCACTGCACTGAGCCTTGATTGTAATCTGCTAAGGAAGAATAGCCTGCGATCTAAGTTATATTGGGACAGTGTCAAAGGCATCACAGAGGACAAATATAAGAAATGTGTTGAAAAGGACAAAAGTCAGCATTTGGCAGCCCTGTCTCGTACCAGGTGTAATGTCAAAAGGGAGGTTTGAGCCCTGCAAACTGAGCTCCTTTGGTTGTGAAAGCCAGCAATCAAGCAGACCATTTGTTCTGGTCATCCAAGTCCGACAATACAGTTTGAGAGACAGAGTCAAATGCTTTGGCTACGTCTATGAACAACACACAAGATGCTCTGTGTTACTCTCAGCAATAGCCGTGTTGGTCTGAGACAAAAAGAAATGCAAAACTCTAGAACTCTTGGTTCAGAGATGATACATTTTATCTGTGTTGCTTTTTTTTTTTACGTTACTCTATTTTTTCCTATTGCTTCTGTGTTATTCTCTGCATGTTTCCAGCAGCTTCTTTAGTGCAAACACGTCAATGGTTGAACTGCTGCAGCAGGAGCCACGTTGGCCTTCAGGCAGGAACGCCTCCATGAGGCCAGCAGTTGATTCAAGACAATGTGAGCCGAAATCTTGACATCCTGGGTAGCAATGGCAGGTGTATCTGCAGGACAAGAACAAGGCTGCCCTGCAAGTCTGGCGAGCTGCACTCATTCTGCCACATGAGAGCAAGAGATGCAGCCTAGGTGGTGCTGGGACTTGGCTGCAATAGCCCCTGGCGGGGAGGGGATAGCAGCAGTGGGCCCCACAATCATTCCAGTCTCTTGCAAAGGAGCTGCAGAAATTAGAAGGCATCTCCCCCAAATAAACAGCCTCTTTCTCCCGGTGGCAACAGACCAGCCTCACGTTTGCGCTAAGGGTGTGAGCACACAGCGGGGCAGGGCACGCACCCACCCTCCCAGCAGGTGCCCCGCACCACCTCCACCATAGAGCCGAGGTCCTCCATGCAGCCTAGAGCGGCAGCCGCCCAACGCTCTCTGTGGTACTCTATGGTGCGCCTGCACTTCCGGGTCTCACGTGGTTCTGCAGGGATGGGGAGCGGGGAGGACGCGTTCGGCCCCTCTGTCCTGGGGACCAAGGAGCAGTGAGTCGGGGGCGGGGAGTGGCGCCCCCTACCGCCGTGGGGGTGCAGGGCAGCGCTTGCCCCTGTCCTGCCCAGCTCCCCTGGTCTAGGAGGGGGGTGTGGACTGGGCAGAGGGTGGTGGTCCCCTGAACCTCTCCTGGGCTCAGCCAGGGGCTTCCCTGCAGCTCCTGTGTTGTTGCTGACTTTTCTTTGCAGGGACAGAGGTGGGCCAGCAAAGGGCGCCAAGGTCAAGTTCACTGGGGAAATACAGTGATGACACCCCAGAGCACATTGTTAGCCTGCTGGGATTTCTCAGGACCTGCTAGATTAAAAGTATACCCAAAGTTGAGACGCAGTGTCCATGAAAAATGTGATACAATGAAAACCTGAGACATCTGTGGTTCTGGACTGGTTTTATAATCCTGGAGTGCCAGGGCATCCCATCTTAAAAGACAAAAAATTGAAGCATGAGCTAAGCTGGCTTTGGTTGGAAGATCTTGACATCAGTGGGAGTTAGAAAGATTAAAGAGGTTGGCCCCAAATGCACTGGCTCATTATTAGCCTGCACCTATTCATTGTTCCTCATTTCATTACCCAGTGTTATCAACAAAGAGCTCCAGATCCACTTTTGCAAGGTACAAATAGTGCTGTGAGTGGGGGAACACCATGGAGAAGTTAATGAGCTCTGACATGAGTGATCATAAAGCCTGTGTGTGCAGTCTCTGGCAGGTTACCAGTAAATTTCTCTGATTTTCCCCCAATGTTTTCACTGTTAGGGAAGAACTTCACACCTTGTGAGAGTAACAGGGTGTCAGACAAAGAATGTTGCTGAGTGTGGGTGCACCTGCTCCTTTATAACCTGATCGATCTGGTTTGGTATTAAAGTGCTTAAGAGAATATGCACCCTGAAAGATGTACATCTTGGATATGCCTGAGACACTTTTACCACTATACCCAGTGGAACCAGCTGCTGAAAAGTCTCTCTTGGATGGCAAACAATCACCATAGCAGCTTCCATATTCCTTCTCTAATCCCAGATGCTGGTGTAGGAAATGGGATTTAAAGATGCTTCCATGCATGTTCCTTGTTGTGAGGACACTGGCATCTAGCGTTACCTTATTGCAGCCTGGTTTACATCAGAGGACCGGCTGAGTAGGCAGAGTGGCTCCAGGGTTCAAGGAGTAGAAAAGCGTGCTCTTACTCCAACACTCTTTAGCTGCAGCTAGGAAATCTGGCCTTTCAGGTTGCCTTATGTGTACGTGATCTTCCCACCTACAATTTGCCCCTGATCTTCTGTCTAGATCAGGGCTGTCCAGCTTCTAAGAGGCCAGAGGCCATACCCACCATGGGCCCTGCCAGTTGGGACCGCATGCTACCGGAGCCACAGGCCCCCCAAGCTGCACACTACATAAGCATAGTGCTCTCTCCCCTCTCACATGCTCACCCCAACACTGCATGCAGCACAACGAGATGTCACCTTCAGCTACCTGGCCATGGGCTTCCCTGCTGTATGGTTGCTGCAGCCAGAGCTATGTATACAGCAGTAGCAGCTGGATGGGAGTCTGAGGGCCGTGTGTTAACCCCTTGCAGGCTGCGTGCAAACCACAGGCCACAGTTAGGAATGATTTAGACCAGGGATGTCTGTTAATTTCAGTATTCTTTTCTCTTTCTTCTCTAGCTGGGATGCTGCATATGAAAGAGAACTGCAACATTTTCAAGAAAACGGAGATACTGGAGAGATTTGGTAAAAAAAAAAAAAATGTAGCTGTCAGTAAATATTTTTATGTTCCCTTCTTTTGAAAGTTACATAGTAATTTTTTTCTTTTTTCTAAAGCATTATAAGTCTGCTGGGTCCCCAGGTAACTCTGGCTGTGGGTAACATGATGGGAAGTTTTTTTACCGTGAAGGCACCAATTCCTGACAGTCCCAGATCTAGTGTAACTAGAAATTGTTAGGTTCTCTCTGACAACTGTTGTGTGAAAAGCAAGCTGGCAAATATAGTCTGATTTACTAACAGACTAGTGTTCACTTCCCTGAGGACATGCATTTTTATCCTCAGGGGCTCAGAATTATGCAGACAGCGTGCAAGCTTCCAGTGTTGTCCTTATTTTACCTCCCGTGAGTACATAGTGAGAACCTCAGCTTCTAGTACCGGTAATCCAGTTGGATTTAAGGCTTTTTGGTTCACTTAAAACTTGGAATATGATCTATGTAGATTGTTGCCTAGGTAATGTAGTGACAGGTGCATTATCAATGCCCCAGAGTGTGGGACAGAGAGACACAGAGTTGCTGTGTTACTCATGGATCTGTGTTATCTTGAGAACCTGAGCCTCTATTTCTTGTAGGTTTGGAGAAGAAAGCATGGTTCGTTTGATCAGATGGATGAAAAAACAAAAGATCCCCCTGGACAGTTCTGTGCTTGACATTGGAACTGGAAATGGCATTTTGCTGGTTGAATTGGTTGGTATTTTTTGAAAATTGTGCTTTTGGTACAGAATCAAAGTGAAGGGCAAAACATATACATTTCCTAAAAAACAGGAGAATCTTTGCAAGTACCAAATCACACTGGAACTAAAAAGATAATCCAACTACTATATTTTCTCACATATACCGCCAAATATAGCATGCACCTTGCATTTATTTTGCTTGAGGTAGAAACCTAATACCATGGATGTTTAAAGGTCTGACACGTTGTTACCTCAGGAGTGGCACAGCAGGACATGAAGATTAGTAATCTTGTTTCAGAGTTGCTTTGTGTTTCTTTTCATGTTTTTGATTAAGTGTTTGGACATACTTCAGTGGTTCTCAACCTTCTTCGACTCAAGGCACTTCTCCATAACTTTGTGAATTGAATGACCCCATTTCAAAAACTAAATTTATTACAGTGCTTATCTCCTTGTAGAGGGGCTGGGTATTGGGGGCATGGCAGCAGTCAGGCCAGGGACAATCCTGAGCCTGGACTTATCTCCTCACACTTTGCTTATCACTTTACTTCTCGCCTCACACCTTGTAGCAGCTTTCAAAAGGCCTAGTATCCTGGTTGAGAATCACTGGTATAGCCTTACTGTAGGATTAGACTGAGCTCACAGATCAACAAAAAAATACACAGAGTTAAAAACTGCTTCATCTATCTCATTGGAAATGTTCATTTTAAGCTTCCACTGCACGTAGAGTTAGCAGCAAGTTGGCTATACTTGAGTATTATATCATCCTTAAAACTGACACCTGATATCCCATTACAAATATAAAAATATTTTTCTTCTGTATGAGGAAAAACAGTAGCTTGTGAAATCTCCTTTTAAATCTCCATAGGTACAGAATAAGAAATGCTTTTTGTGATAATGTGCTCCAAAATACTGCAGTCACATGTGTAAGAAATTTTTTTCAAGAGCAGTTCTCTTCTGAAAATGACAGTAAAAATGGGATAGTTTGTAGTGTCTCAGATTTGTTCAGTTTATAACTAAAAGAATTATTTTTCCCCACTTAGTGTTTTTTTCTGTAGGATCCAAAAATAAATTTGGGATTTTTTTTTTTGGATTGTGCATCATCATCAGTAATAAAAGTGTACATTTGGAGCTGAGATCTGGTGCTTGCACAGAAACTGAAGAGCTGGAGACACAGACAAAAGTGCAGCTCCCTGCTGTAACTCACAGCACTTCTCAGGAAGCTCTATAAGTTACAGCAGTCCCCCGGACCCAACAGATGTTTGCTGTTGGGTCCCAGGGGTTTGGGGATTCAGCAATTTGGGCTGAGTTTCCTTCCTAGCCCAAAGGAAGTTCCTGTCCACACCGGCTCCCAGCATGCGCAGACAGAAGTTAATGAAGGTGCCGTGTTTGGAGCATCTAAATCCTCATGAGGTTTCAGATTATCATGGGATTGGGCCCTTTTAAAGCTGTCTGCAGCCATGCACTTGTATTTGGTCATGAATATAGAGTGCTCTCGTGGGCTAGATTGGGCAATAATTGTTGTGTCTTTCTGCACCTTGAAAGAGTGAAACTGATGTTCAGTGTCTAGCGTAAAACAGTGGAAGGTGGTTGTACAGGGTATTTATTTGGCTACCAGAGAAAGAAAAGATGGAATGGAATAGCATCATAACTCCTGGGATAAGTGTGGATTTGTGGAACTGGAATGGAAGAATCATTAAAGAAGGATTAACAGTTAATTTTGGCCTTGGGCATTAGTTCCTATTGGCAGGCTGTATATAAAGGAGGCAGAAATCCGACAGACAAAAGTAGGTAATCCTACAAATGAAGTCAAGTACAGAGAGTGCTGTCTCCCAATGTACCATAAGCAGCTGCACCACTTGAGGGTGACCATTACAGTGCTTACAGATCCAATGTCCACCACAAGTCAAGGTATCAACTGCAGGTACAAGACTAGGACTGCTACACACACTTCAAGAGTGGCACTTCAAGAATGGCCAGGAATGGCACAAACCAATCTGGGAGCGGGTGACGGGCCCAAAAATCGATATGGATCAGGTGAGGGAACACCTTGAGAAACTAGACATTCACAAGTCCGTGGGCCCAGACGGAATGCACCCAAGGGTCTTGAAGGAGCTGGCAGACATCCCCCTTGGCAGGGATATTTGAAAAACTGTGGCACTCAGGCAAGGTCCCAGATGACTGGAAAAGAGCCAGCATGATCCCCATCTACAAGAAAGGGAGGAG